TAAATGCACAGTGCCTAATTTTCCTTTTCCTTTTAAATATCCTCTCAGTTCCTTAATACAGAGAATAGTATATATTATATACCTTAAGAAACGTTCTGCAATACTCATGAATCTTTCTTCTACTTGTAATATTCAGAGAGTCATAGAATCATTTATGTTGTGAAAGACCTCTAAGATCATTGAGTCCAACAGTTATTGTATCCCCATGTGCCACATCTAAAGGTCTTTTGAGTACCTCCAGGGATAATGACTCAACTACTTCCCTGGGCCACCCAGTCTGATGCTTGACAACCCTTTCAGTGAAGAATTTTTTCTGCCCCTGAAGAAACTTGAGCCCATTTCCTCTTATTATACCACCAAAACCAAGCATGTGTGTGTATATTTGACTAATCATTTTCTTATTTTGTTTGGGTTTTTATTTTGTCTTTTAAAGTGTATATTGTGATCGGCTACATGTGTGATCAATGAACATCCTTTTGGTCTTGCCTGCAATCCCTGAGTATCTTGTTGAATTGTGGGTTGCAAGGAAGCCAGTAGGTTTCCAGTATCCTCACCCTTAAAAATGGGAGACAAGGAGGCGACATTGACCCTAGAAGATTTGGCAGCATAAATGACTGCTGTCATGATTACTGTGATGTGGGAGTGTGTATGTGCTCTGATTTTTTCAGCATTGAGCAGAAATGTGTAGTTCAGCTAGGCAGTTACATGGAGATTAATTTGCTTCAAGACTGAAATAGGGAATCCAAAACAGAGCAAATAGCAACTGGCACAATTTTTACATCACAACAGATTAGCGATGCTTTAGAACATAAAAGTCTTCAAAACCAGGGAGGAAAATGAGCACAAAGCCCCACAGGCTGCCTCTATAGAATCACAGAATATCCTGAGTTGGAAGAGACCCACAAGGGTGTTGTTGATGAAGAAAATAATATTAGAAAATCCTGTATTAGTATCTCCCTCTGACAGCTAAAGATTGACTTGGAGCTTCAAGAAACATTTCAGGTAATTGAAATTTCTGCTGCATACAGATTCATTGCTTATTTTGTGCTGCTTCAGCATTTTTCAGAATAAAATCATGGTACCTTAAGTGAACATATGTAATACAAGAGATTTAGTTGATGAATTGCTCCAAAGTTTTCCTCATGCATATTCTCTGGAATTGTGCCACAGGTGAAATTGGTTCTTTTTTTTTTTTTCCCCTCTACCACTGAATCATATTCCAAGTTATTATTTTGCATCAAAAGGCAAATGCTAATAATAGCAATCAGCTTGCTTAGTCCAACATCCTGTCTAAGTGGGCATAATGATTTCAGCTGTGGTGCTTTATCAGCAATTATGCTTGGGTCTGTGCCAGCTAAAGAGTATATAGTATAAAATAACGCCACTGACATGCTAACATTAAGGATTTTTATTATTCTTTAAAAGTACAATGTTCTAAAAGCTATTAAACATAAGATTGTTCTTACCCAGTCTCTGACTCTATTTACACTAACTGTAAGATTTGCTTGGAGAATCATCAGTAGACAGATTTGCTTTCTCACTGCTGCACTAATCTAAGATTCTACACATGGCTTAAATTATACGTGATGGAAAAGAGAAGAGTAGAGAATTTAATTAAATTAAATGACCAAGTTGTCTCAGTCCAAACACATTTGGTCAAAAACTGTGCCAGCAATTGCTGTAACAATGTTCAGGCTGACCCCAACTTAAGTACAGCTATAATACACTGAATTTTAAAAAAATAATATCAAAAGAAACAGAAACCTCTTAAACAAAGACGTGGTGCATAATATTAGCAATAAAGAAAGAATTTACAGCTACTAACTGAAGTTTTGTTTGTGTATGGCACAAGGACACATCTTGATGGAGTGTCTTGCTCTGAATTCTGCAAAAGACTTACTGGAAAAGATCTACAAAAATGTATCTTACTTTTTCCCTGGTGACCAGCACATTATCCATCTACTAGTTCCCCTACTACACATTCAGGCACTAAAAAGGTTTGTCTGAGAGCCCCTTGTTCATAAAAACTGATTTTCTCATAGGTGCACAAAATGGTTATTCAGAGTTTCTGGCTCTTGCTGTCTCAGGTGACAGTCAAAGTCTTCTGTGTTCCACAGCTACGTAGCCCTTGTCAAGCTCATCCTTCATCCCAGCCCGATGCCTAAAAATAAGGCTCTGGCAGCAATACATTTCAAATGTGATAATGTATGTGTTTTACATATTTAATCTGTATCTTATATATTCTTCTAAACAGTGCTTTGTAAGATGGAAAAAAAAATCCACCAAAAGCAACTCCCAACACCTTAGGATTTATTCCTATTTACTTATTCATAAATAAATTTACATTTTTGTTCACTCATTGATTCTTACTTTCTCTTCAAAGTCTTAAAATATCTTAGATATTTTGTTATATTACTATTATATAAGGCAATGTGATGCTTTGGGGCATCAGTGTTTTCTTTGGTAGGAATCCTTATTATGAGACAACATAATGATAAAAAAAACCCCTTCCATTTTGCGTTTGATATCAACAACATTGAAAACAATATTATCTTAATAATCCTTTCAATAGAAGCCAAAGCCTGATGGCTTAACATAGACCAGTATTCTGAATTTCAAATTAGTGAAGCAATAACAGAATTCATAAAAGATTTAAAAATTAAGGACAGAGCATTAACATGTTTCAGGGGAAAAGGGACTCACTGCTACAGGAACTGAGGATCCCATATTTTCTCCACTGGCAAAGGTGGCTTTGCTGCTTTCTCCTTCCTGTGGCCCCAAATGTTTCTTTTGCCTTCACCACCTCTGTGCCAGGCTGATGGTCATGGCACTGCAGGGCTTGGTCCACCTGTGTCAATTATTTTTCCAGCTAATGTGCTTCACAGTGTACTCTATAACCGTGGCATTGGCACAACTGCAAAGCAGCATGCAATGATGCAGAAATTTGAAACAAGATTTTTTTAGGTGTACAATTTCAGTTATAATTTTTGACATGATTTCAGCTTTCCTTCTAGGAACAGTAACTGCTTATGTTTATGTTTTCCTTCAGATTTTTCCCTTAAAGGTATTGCCATCTTTAAATCCCATCCTAATTACAGTGTTATGAGGGCAATAGATATAATTTGTTTGTTCATTACTGTGTTGTCCTTGTTTGAGGGAGTTTTTCTTTGTCAGATGAATATGCTTTGGGCATATGTCAGCTGGCTAGCCAGCATTGTTTTTGCATTTGGGCTGTAAACAAAGTGTTTGTGCTAAATAACTGTTCCTTTTCCCAGGAGTTGAAGTTGGTAGTGCTGAATTGTATTATTACCTCCAAATAGATATATGAACTAAATCCACAATTTTCCTAACATACGCATGCAGAACAGATCATCATGGAAAACATAAATCCATATAACAACAATCATGCTGGCCATCACTGTCTCTTGGAACAGGTAAACACAAGTGTGTGAACAAGCCTGGGGTGGTTGTGCCCTCAGCTCAAACAACAGCTGCTCTCGCTGAGGACGCGGAGCTGCTCTCACTAAGTGAGAAGCTGGATCAAGTGACTGTACTCACAGTCCTGCATTCCTGTTTGTGAAGTACACTTCACTGGCTAAAGTCACTTGCCTGAGGTTCCAGGTGGTTTTACTTCACCAATGGGTTGGGCTGAGGGCAGGCACTCTCGAGTTGCAGAGTCACACCTGGAATTACAGGCCTTTAGTCACCTGTGATCATTTGTGTGATCATCTGTCCATCCATTAACTCTCTGCCTAAATTTTTAATATTTTTTTCTACCATTCCCTCTTCTCTTGAGTTCCCCCTCTGCTGACATTATTGTCTTCCCCCTTCTTTAGTCATGCTGCTTATTTTTATACGTAGAAATCATGGTGCTCGCTCTCTGTGACACTAACATGACTTCTTTGGCCATCATGCTGTCTTTTCTGATTTTTTATTCTTTAACTTTCCTTGGTGTAGTGAGTACTTCGTTTTAGGTACTAGCTCAGAGACTTCTGGGGTGGGATCCTGTTTTAAATTAATCCCAAAGTGCAGTCTCAATACAAAACAGTGACACTTAACAGTGTCTTTTGAATTCTGCTTGTGATGAGCATTATGTGTAAGTACCGTGCATCCAGGAGAAGAATTTTTAAATGGGCAAAGGGTAAGCTGGAGAAAAAAATATTATCCTATTGTACTGTACTGTTGTTAGAAATTGGTTTACAAGGAAATTACATCAGTGTCTTTAAAAATTACAACTAATATCATCAAAACACCATTGACCTCTATTTACAGAAAATAACAATGCAGTTGGCTTCAAGAAAAACCGTGTATTTATTCATTTAAATAAACAGAACTTACTGGAATAAAATATTCTACTAAATTATATGTATTTTAATAGAACTTAACATGTAGGAGATGTATCAGGTAAAGTATGAAATCTGTGCAAAACATGTAAATAGATGGTACACATTATACTTATGATTGATGAGAAATAACTTTTGAGTATAGTGGAAGTGATGCTTTCATCTGAAGATGTCACTTTTCTCTAAAACTAAAAATAGCTTCTTATTCAGATAGATTATCAGGCTATGTTGCATGGAAACCATTTTTCTCTATTACTGTTCTTATGTAACACTGGCTTCAGGCTGAAAAGCACAATTGTATTTTTGTTAAATTAACAGTTTAAGGTCAGGTTCTTTCTCCCTCTGCTGCTTTATATTAATATCCCTCTGTGTCTTTTTGTGACATAATGAACTCTATAGCATATTGTAAGGGGTCACAGTAAACCCTTGTGGAAGGTGGACTTGTGTCTTTTGCCCTTAGTCAAGCTGATGGAGATTACAGTACTAAGTTGCAGTTTCTGTCTTGAGCTCTCTGTTGATCCCAGAGGATTGTATTAATATAAAAATTTAAAAGTTAGATTTAAATAATTTGTTTTTCTGTATTGCTGAATTGCTGATGAAAGTTAAACCCCTTTTTTTTTTCTTCTTTTTTTTTTTTTTTCTGGTGAGAAAGGGCATCTCAGAGTTACTGAACTGGTTTGTTTTTGTTGTTGGTGGTGGTGGTGGTGGTTTTTGCACTGAATAGCTTTTGGACAGATCCAGGGGTACTTGGATAACACATTTTTCAGTGCTTTTGATGCTTTCAGTTTTAGTTGTATTTAACACTCAGTTACCTCCTCTTTTAATGATTATTTCACTACAAGTAAAATACTGGTGTATTACCATTAGTTACTAAAGTATGTACTGATCCATAATTTTAGTTGAATACAGATGTTTTCCTCTAGAAATAAATTTTCTGTGTATTTTCTCTGCATGACATGGGGACAAAATCTTTGAAGAGGAGTTTTCACGGGTCTGTGGGTTTTCTATTCTACTTCATGATTTTCCATTTCCCCTGCCTCTCCTCCACCCTTTGGAGAGCTGTGTCTGTCCACCCAGGCTGCTACTCAGTATTCCTGCTGTCTGCACTCAGTATTCCTGCTGTCTGCACATATTGATTCCTCCTTTCCCTCCTTGCAGACCTTCAGAGATACAAAGCTGTAACAAAATAGGGCTGTAGTCTGTGGTCCTGTTTTTTTATTGACACGCTGTCTGTATCTGTAACTGCTGTGATATGCCTTTATTATAGATGAAGAGATACTTCAGACTCAGGGTTTGAGTTGGTAGGAGCATATGCCCTCTTAAGAAAGGAAAAATGAAATCTTTGTGATAGCCATTTGGAAGTAAACCATTTGACTAAGACACAGAGTCATATGAAATGCTGCTTCTAACCGTGAAGCTCTGGGCTGAAGGGTAAGAAGAAGGTATAAAGAAATGACTGCATAGAGACTGTCAAAGAGCCTAGGTTTCTTCAGAGGTCGTGAATGGGTTCTAACCCTTTATTTTAAGAGGGAAATCTAATGTGAAAATTTTGAGATTGTATATTTCTGTTAGATGTGGTTTGAAATCCTTTTTTCCACTCTACACTGGTTCCAGCATCCCTATAAACCTACATTAGAAATCTGTCTGCTACTGACTGTATTTTCCCAAGAAGGAAAAACCCTCACAGGGGCTGGAATCTCAATTAGATGTGCCAGTTATCAGCCATTTTTTCCTACCTACAGCTGACCCTTATCACAGGCTGTGAGCAGCAGCACTGCAATACTTCATCCTCAGAGAGAAGAATCCAAGACATGTCTTAAATGCTGGACCTCAGCACCCTGTTCAGGGGTCTGGCTGATAAACACTGAGATTACTTTCTGGTCTTCATAGCATCATTTGGAAGAGCTCTTGGGTCCATTTCTTTGGACATAAGATGCAAAGGTCCAAATGTATGATACCGAGTGCCATAGTGTGTAAGCCTCAACGTGGTAAATCTTCCAGTTTAGTAGTATTCTGTTTTTCCAGTGCAAACCTTAAAGGCATCTTCTCTAATTTAGGTACTGTTGTCATCCTGAAAATTTAATCTTAAAGCACTGCTGGATGTAAACTTCTATGCTTGTTGCTGTGAAAAATGGATGTCACTCAACAACGTGGTAGACAGCTCAGTTCCACCATTTTAACAATCTTGTTACTCCTTTGTTTCCTCCAAAACTGTGTTTGCCTGTAGTTAAGCATAATGATTAGGACTCCAGATAGTACTTAGTCACTTTGCATTCTTTAAAAATCTTCAAAGCTTCTAGGATTCTTCTTATTTTTGTGATTACCAACAAATAATGTCCCAGAATACCTTCGTGCCTCTTGTAATGACTCTTTTCAGCTACATCTCACTTCAGATGAGCTTTTTTTGAAATTTTCAGAACAGTCAATTTTTGGAGATGCAACATGTCAAAAAGTGCTAAGAGACTCTTCAAAACATAATTAGCACCTATTTATCCCGAGTATCGTATCTTACGAGGGCTGTACCCAAGCACTGTCAAATTTGGGCCAATGGCAAATGAGAAAAATCTGCAATATCTGAAAAATAAATGTGCATTTTGTTGTGTTAGGAGTTTCTTTTGGTTTTGTGTTTCAGGATTGTGGGGTTTAGGTGTTCTGGTTTCTTTTCTTTTTTTCTTTTTGTTTGTTTTTTGTTTGGTTTTTTTATTTGCTTGGTTGTTGGTGTGGGCTTTTTTTCAGGGATCTAAAGGCCAGGAGGTGAAGTTGAGAATCTGGGAAGAAAAGAGATTCTAAATGGTGAAGAGCCGAGTGGTGAAGGATTAGATCTTCCTCTCATTTATTCACTTTTGTCATCTATAAAAGAGCAAGAACTAAGAAATTAAAAATCACTTTATTTCTAATTCTTGGAAGGAATATGGTATAGGATCAAGGGACCAATCTCACTGAAGTGTTTTCTCTGTAATTAGAAGAAATCTGAAACACATAACTTCTCTCCCCTAAAAAAACAGATTACAAATACCAAATCAGAAAAGCAACTGTGCAATTTCCTTTAGCTACAGAGCTTTTAGTCCCACTGCATTTTCCATTCACCTATGGAGAGGCAGCCTGACAGGACTGCTGTGCACAGCTATTAGGTTTAATTGCCATGGCTTTACTTTGCTTTTCTTTACCCAGAACATGTTTATGGCTAAAAATAGAGCCATTCTTTTCTGATGTAGATATAATATCTCTAGGAGCTTAACGGGTTGCATACTATTCACCAGCAGAATAGTGATTTATAAAATACTTACAAGGGAGCAATTCTGTTTGTAGAAAGCTAACCTTTCTCACCTGAGGAATTGTTTTAGATGGTCAAGCCGTATTTGTGTTATTTTAATATTTAATCTGTAGTCCTTCTCCTCTTCAGCCTTTGTTTCCATTTAAGAATTAATTTTTTTTTCTTAAATTGCACATTTTGATGTACAGGATGGATCAATAGGAGCCTCATTGAACATAAATGGTCAGATAAAATTAGAGGATTACTGTTCAGTACTTTATATGCCTCGTGTAAACATAAAGAAGAGCCCATAGAGTAGAGGCAAAGATAACTATGAGCAGGCAGCATGATTTTAGGAAGGGCTGGCCCTTCCTGATCAATCTGATCTCCTTTTATGAGCAGATGACCGTCCTGGTGGATGTGGGTAAGGCCATGGATATTGTCTACCTGGTCTTCAGCAAAGCCTTTGACACCATCTCCCATAGCACACTCCTGAAAAAGCTTAGACAGGTTCACCCTTTGCTGGATAAGAACTGTCTGGATGACCAGGCCCAGAGAGTGGTGGTGAACGGTTTTACATTGAGTTGATGTTCCTGTCACCAGTGGTGTCCCCCAGGGATCTCTGTTGGGCCTAGTTCTGTTTAATCTCTTCACTGATGATTTGGATGAGGCGATTGAATCCACCATTAGCAGATTTGCAGATGACTCCAGGTTGTGTGCTAGGATGGATCTAGGAGGGCTCTGCAGAGGGATCATGACAGGCTGGATAGATGACCCGAGACCATTGGCACGAAGCTCAACAAGACTAACAAAGTACACCTTGGCCACAGTGCAGAGCTACAGGCTGGGGCAGAAGGAAGCTGTCCAGTGGAAAAGGACCTGGGGGAGTGTTCCACAGCAGCTGAACATGAGCCAGCGTGTGCCCAGGTGGCCAAGAAGGCCAATGGTGACCTGGCCTGTATCAGCAGTAGTGTGGCCAGCAGTAGCAGGGAAGGGATTGTCCCCCCGTACCGAGCACTGCTGAGGCCACAGCTCAAATCCTGTGTCCAAGTCTGGACCCCTCAATTCAGGAAAAACACTGAAGGGCTGGAACCTGCCCTTCCAGAAAAGGGCAACGGACCTGGTGAAGGGTCTGGAGCAAGTCCTAAGAGGAACAGCTGATGGAGCTGGCTGGTGTTTAGCCTGGAGAAAAGGAGGCTGAGGAATGACCTTAGCACTTGCTACAACCGCCTGAAAAGAGGCTGTAGCCAGGTGGGGGTTGGTCTCCCAGGCAACCAGCAACAGGACAAGAGGACAGAGTCTTAAGCTGCACCAGGAGAGGTTTAACCTGGGCATTAGGAAAAATTCTTTACAGAAAGGGCAATTAGATGTTGGAATGGGCTGCCCAGGGAGGTGGTGGAGTCACCATCTCTGGAGGTGTGTAAGGAAAGATTGGACATGGCACTCAGCACTATGCTCTAGTTGACATGGTGGTGTTGGGTGATAGGTTGGACTCGATGATCCCAGAGGTCTTTTCCAGCCTAATTGATTCTGGGAATGGTGTGCCCCCAAATGGAAGACAGGCCTTGTCTACTCACTGCTTTGAAACCGAGTACTCTAGACCAGCTCCATCTATTGCAGTCCACAAGCTGTTTCTCCACTGATTTTGGCAAAGTGAACTCAGGGTTACCATGTAGTGAACATGTTGTTAGTGAAAGTAAACTGAAATTTGCTATCAGCAATGCTAAGTCAGTCACCACCTGCCAAATGTTTTTTCTTTCTATTTGTTATGGTAAATTAATTATCATTTCAAACAGCTAGACTTTTTTTTTTTTCCCCTCTGAATTCTTGTTCACATAATGTGCTTGATCTCCTCTTGCAAGCTGGAGTATGCTAGAAAAAGAATGACATTTGTTTTCTACTAGAATATAAATCCAGGAGTATAGTGTGCAGAAAATAATGTGAGAACTCCTTGGGGGAGCTCTGTAGCCCAGTTCTCCAAGATAATAGAAATATTAATATTTTCATTTCAGATACCAAAGATGTGGGTTAACTTACAGTCTACTCATCAGTAGCATAAAAAGTAATTTTTCTTTGGATGTATTGATATGTAATTATACAGTTTTAAAATAAAATTCTGATTGTTGGTGAAGAGAGCAGAACCAGACTAGTAGCCCTGAGGGCAGTCTCCTGTCGATACATGGGACAGGTGACAGCAGGCAGTCCTGTGCCAGGACAAGGAGGCAGCTGAAGGAGACCTGTTCATAGGCACAACAAAAGTTGTTTGCTGATTACCCCATCATTTGAGTAAGTACACCATAACAAACAGCTAGATTGGAGACATTATACAGTAGATTGATACTCCTGTCTCAAGACACAATTCAGTCACTTCTGCTTGAGAATTAGCTCTTATGTACTCACCTTAATAGTATGTGCTTTCCCAGGGTCTTAATAAAAGAGGTTATCCTGCTCTTCTGAGAGGTTTTATCCTCCTACATTTCTCGAATGCCAGCAAACAACCCTTCAAATCCAGACTAAAATGCACATTTCTTCTGTGGATTTTCAGGTTTTAATTTGAGACCATGATGTTAGCATCCTGAAAAGCAGTATGATTATTACACAAGAAGTGGAGAGCCAGGTTGAGATCTGCTCAGGAGCTCATTTCAGACACACAGGTCTCCTTTGTGCTAGGCAGGGGTATTGGAGGGGGTTGTTGTGTTATGGCTCTCCTTAGTCTGATAGAAATGTCCTTTCTCTGATAGAAAATCATACCTATCAATGCCTTGTCAATGCAAAAAAAACTCCCCAGCCCCCTGGGGAGAATGGAATTCTGTTTGTGTCTGAAGGAAGAAATATCTGAGGGCAAAGTGGTAATTTGTCATCTATAGCTTTGGCCTCCCAGCTGAGCTTCCTCACAAAGGTGTAATTTAGGTCTTCCTTAGAAGCTCACTTTGGTGTTTCCTCAACACTGGAGCCTGTAGTGCCCCCTCTCCATGTGACTTCTGCCAAGGTATAAAGATAGGAATGTTGTGGACAATGTGAATTTATTTAGTCAAGCTTAAAAAAAAATCCAAAACCAGCAAGTTCTTAAACATCTCTCAGCATTTGTGCCTTAATTGTGTTTTTTATGTGCTTTTTAAGACTTCATTAAGGGAAAGGAAATATTTCACATGAGATGTAAACCACACTGGATATGGAACTGAATGTCTAGCTCTTGAAACCTGTGCTGGATTTAGCCTTGCTGGAGATGCTCAAGAACTGGCTGGACACAATCCTGTGTCATGTGCTCTGGAATGACCCTGCTTGAGCAGGGAGTTTGGACCCGATGACCCCACCAGCATTCCCTTTCAACCTTATCCATTCTGTGATGCTGGGATTTCTCATGCTCTTTCTAAAACTAAACACATTTAAAAGTCTCTACAAGGGAGCTCTTCAGCCAGTTAGCACATTGTATCAATATGAATGGTAATTATTACTGGTTGCTTCACATTCTCTAGGGTGTGCCTACAGATTTTCCTTTTGCAGCTATTACAATTACACTAATTATACAGATAAAAACACCCTACACTAGTATACAGATATCCATTTGTTTGAAGAATGCACATACTGATGGGATCTTTTCAATACAAATTAAGCCATTTTGAACTATTCAAGTTAATTTACATAATAGACCTTGCCTATGAAGCTTAGCATTTTGGTCTTGATTAAACAAGGATAAACAAGAGTATCTGGGAGTGCAGTCATTACTCCTGTGAAGCCTCCCTGCTGTGAAAAGGAAGTGAAGTTTCCTTTCTTTGGATTTTTTTAAAGTTTGCAATCAGATTTAAGCCAAAACAAAATATGTGCAGACATATTTGGGTAGAAATGCTTGTCAGATCCCTTTTTTCTGCTCTCAGATATAAATGACAGTGAAGAGCAAATATTTCTAAGGTTTGTTGCACCGATACCCTTTTCTACAAACAGGTGAGGAGATTGGGCACAAGTTACCAGTCCAAATGGGCCCCTCCTTCTCTTTTGCCTTTCACAAACTGGGGAGCATACCTCAGCTTGCAAGTAGAGACGTCTGCTGAGCATGGGGAGAAAGAAGGACTTCAAAGAAGTCTCCTCTTGCTTCCTTTCGTGCTTGGCCTTCAAAATGCCCACCTCTCTGTCAAGAATGGGGGGGAAGAGAAAGCAAAAGCAGTAAGGATCACAGATCTTTACAGGGACTAGACTGAGGCTGTAAAGAAGAAGGATGAGCAAACAATTAACAGTCAGCTGTAATTCCAGCAGCTGGTCATCTGAAACAGACTGGCATTTCTCTACACAGAGCCATGCATTGAATAATTAATAATTATGTTACAGACACAGCAGTTAAAAAAACAAAACCACAAACAAAAACACCCCCTCTCCAAGTTCTAAACGTGCAGAGTGTGATTAGAAAGGTTTCTTCAGCACTGGCTGCATTAAGAGAAGGTACCGTGCTTGAATTCCTTTCTTTTTCTAATTGTTATCAAAGTATCCCCTTTGTACATATATGATAGTTAAACCCTTTTATGAATTCTCTAGCCTAGGTCTGAATGAGAACTAACTATTGTCAATGTATTTTTATTTGATCATTATTGCCATTTGGATCCAAAGATTTTTGTTTCCTTGATTAATATTGAACAATACATAGATAAATAGGGAGCCCCAGGCTTGCCTTTCCATTCATATTCTTTCTTTGTTTAAGGTTACAAATAATTTTTTTTTTCTCTTCTGCTTGTAATTGCTAATGCATATCTACAGTCATTTTCTAAAATATGTCCTGGTGTGATACAAGATTGCTGCCATGTCCTTTATTGACACTGCCTTTTCTGTTTTATCTCACATATTTGTCCTTTTACTTTCTTTTAAGAGCAGACACTCAAAGCAGGTGTTTTTGGGTTTTTTTGCTGGTAATCTTGGATTCAGAACTCTCACACTGGGAATCCCTGCACTGCCTCATCTTCTTCCATCACATTCACTTTGTGCTTTTCATCTTCTGGAAGCCACTATATCTTTTGTGTCTGGTTCAATTTTTGTATTTTATCAAATTGCTCCATACCCTTCTGCAAAGGGAGCGATCCTCATCTTCCCCACCCTTTTCTTATGCAGTTCTCCATCGTGTGTAAGGTTTCAGGCTGCTCGTGACCCATTTCTGCTGGGATGCCAGTGACAAAGCTCTACATTTTAGTGCTTTGAAGTACATTGGGAGCATGATGGAATATGAAAACCAGATTATTATTTTAGTATGCAAAGAGGTCAGTTTATCAGTAGAATTGGTTGTATTTCTGCCCAAACATCCTTTCATATCTCAGTATCTTTGAGAACATAAACAGAATGAAGACTGTGTTCATGTCTGTTCTCTGCAGTAGCTATCAAATACAGCCCCAGCTAAACCAATACATTCAAGTGCTATGTTTTTTAATAGTAAAAGGAAACTTTGTAGCACTAAATACAATTTTAGTTCATCATTACTTATTGCAGTTGTTCTGCCTCCCTGTTTTTGGGTTGGTTTTTTTTTGTTTCTGTTGCCATTTAAAACAAGGAACACAGACTGTAGGGATGGCTGTTAACACACAAATTCAAAGAGAAAGTCCCTTGCTCTGTTTAACATTATGAATTGATGCTTTAAAAATTATCTGCTTCAGTGCTAATTTTACCTTGTGATGAAAGTTAGGCTTTAAATATGTAAAATGCAATGAGAGGGCAGCAGACACTATCGGGAGCTTGGAGAAGTTGTCTTGTTTTCCTCAGAACAATTGCATGACCTTCCTCTCAAAGGCAGGTTTGTTTAATTACCAAATAACCTAGAAACACAGGAAAGTGCTTCAGAAGCTGTCCACTGGTTTAGCTGAGGAAGACCTTCAGGAACTCCTGAAGCTTGGAGGGAGCTTGAAGGAAAGATATTGACCTTTTAGTTCACAAATATTTTTAGGGGTGCAGATATCTAGGAACAGAGAGCTACTGTTCCAAGTTTCTGCTGAAATAAGGTGAGTCCAAAAGACTTAGAAGACAAAATTGCTTCTGACAGTAACAGGGAACAGGCTGAGGAGGGCTTTAGAAGGTGTGTGGTAACAGTAGTAATATTTTTCATGCACCCCAACATGTATTAATCAATACATGTTCTGTATTGACTAATAAGAGAAAGACAGCTTCTGAATTCTGCAGAGCTAGGGCAGCAGAATATTGACTTGTAGCAAGCCAAACAGGCCCTTCATCCTTCTCACCCTTCAGAAGTATTTATGCATAATGGTTCTCTTTAAACAGTCCAAATGTCTTGATTTGGAGAATAAAGCCTCCATGGACTGTAACACTACTGCAAGATAGAGAGCTCAGTATCTATTCATATAAAGCTGTGGGTTTTAGGAAAAAGGCCCTTATTTAAGTCCAAAATAGCAGTTGTAGCCCGTGCTAATTACATTATGCACATGCCAACAACTGATAGCCATTGACCTGTATGGAACATTTCCAGTTACAAACTGATTGAAAGTGCTTCAGGCAATCGTTCTGCTTTATGGGGAACCACTGATGCCTGATGTAATGACCTGACCAATGCTAAGCAAATGCAAAGCCCTCTAAGCAGAGTGGTACAAATATAGACAGCCAAAAGGCCATGCGCTCTGTGCTTATCAGCTGTGAATGCTGAGAGCAGGTTTCACAGCCATGAGTAATCCTCAGCCAGCTACTCATCCTCAGCACATTCCCATGGAGCTGAATGTACAGTGGCTAATTCCCTTCTGGGCTGAACTGGATGCGTTTTTGAAAAGATCTCCATTCCCTGCATAGTGCAAGAAGTTACATTTATGTCTTGGGTGAATTTGATAAATGGGTGAAAAGCAACAGTGAAGAGTCATTTCTGCTCATGCCTGTTCAAGAACTTCACCTCCTCCTCCAGCTCTGTGCCAGTCCTGGGTTACAAAGAGCTGAAGCATTGGGGACCACACTTCCTGGTGTGTGTTTGTGTATACAAAAGGTGTTTCCCCTTGCCTGCCAGTAGTCCTTGAGGAATTTTATGTAAAATGTAGGTATTTACATAATTAGGATATACATTTAAGGGCCACTAAACATGAGAATGTAACTATGTTTGACGTACTGTAGAGCCCTGAAGGCTTTAGAAACTTAGATTTGCTGTATCTAAATAATGTAGTTGCCATAATTTAATGTTACCCTTCCTGTATCAACATTTGACAACTTAAACCAAAAACTACAATAGGCTACATACCATGTATCCACATGTGAACATTTGTCCATGTTGCTTTGATTCTTTATAGTCAGTCTTCATTATTACATCAAGGTGATGTGTAACTTTCCCTACACCAATGCTGACATGAATGTTTAGAGTTAATACATTTCTGAAATACCCTTTTAATTCTCTCTATTTTTTCAAGATGATGAAGATACTAATCACAATTTTCCTGCCCAAAAAAAAAACCCAGTAAGAATAATACACCTGGATAGTTCTAATATTCAGAACAGGCCTGTAATGATGAATTATCCCTTAATGGTGTTTTATATTAATAAAATTAAAAATGCTTGCTTGAAATCTTCAGACATGAACTATTCTTGAGAAAGCAAAAATTGTTAGGAATGGTCAGATTTGGGTGTTTCAAAATCCAGCAAAGGTAAGCAAGAAGGAGGCAGACAAGAACAGCAGTAAACAATGATGAAGAGCTTGTCATTGTTTGCATCTCAGTAGTTTCCATGCTTCCAAGTTCAGTCTAAGTCAGGTCAACTCCCTTACCTCACTAACCCTTTCAAAACACTTACATTAGGAATTGCTGCTGTTGATCACAAAAGCAGGAAGTGAGGTGAAGGCATGAGTGGCAGGAGAGGAAAAGTTAAGGAATTTCAGAGTTTTTATGAAACAGTATAGTGGGGTGACTGTGCCTGGGTGCCAGGTGCCCACCAAGCAGCCCTATCACTCATCTTCCTAGTGGGACAGAGGGGAGAGAGAATAAGATAGGGAACAACTCATAGGTTGAGATAAGACAGTTTGCTAAAGAAAACAAAAAAAGGTAAAAGTTGGCACACACTTAAGCAAAGGGGAAAAAAAAAAAAGAATTAATCTTTACTTCCCATCAGCAGGCAATGTTCAGGCACTTCCCAGGAAGCAGAGCTTCAGCACACAGAGGTTACTCCATAAGGCAAACACTGTGAAATAACAAATACTCCTCATTCCTTCTCACTCCTTTAGCTTTTATAGCTGAGCTGAGGTCACATGGTCTGGAATGGCCCTCTGGTTAATTTGGGTCAGCTGGCCTGGTTGTGTCCTCTCCTAGGATCTTGCCTAACCCTATCCAGGTGGTAGGGTGCAGAATGTTGAGGAGACAGCAATGATACCGTGCCAGCATTTCCCAGCAGTAGCCAAAAGCTGGGGTGTAATCAGCCCTTTTCCAGCTACCAATGCAAAGCACAGCACTGTTAGGGCTGCTAAAAGAAAATGAACTCCAGCTCAGCCAGACCCAATACAGTCAGGAAAAAGTTTTCTGTTTTTTGTAGTATCCTCATATGTTTTCCTCTGCTTACCCAAACCAGCTAAGATTTTACTTAGATTAAAGGGAGGATGGGCACGTTTGGTTGTAGAGTCTAATGGATCAGAAAGTCCCAAGTGAAACAAATGGAGAAATTCAAGATTTTACAGAGGTTATCAGAAAGGGGCAGTGTCCATTCCCCATGCCTGTTCAATCAAAACATGCACAGTGACCTACATGTCACATAAACTCTTTTGGGTTGCTTTTGATTTTTTTTCCGCTTCATTTTTTCTCCCCAAGAGGATTCTGGCCTGTTGCTATAACAACTCTGTAGCATCATTGAAGTACCAAACACTAATAACTAACTCAGACCACAAAGCCTCAGTCCATCTCTTTTCCCTGTGTCCTGTTTATTCTTTCAACACTAGTTTTACATAATGTGCACCAAGCACTCACAGGGACCTCCATGCAAATTAAAGTTTCCACCAGAGAGTGCTCAGCATAACTGTAAACCCTTCACATCTCTTCTGTGTTGCTAGTTGACAGTTGTAAGAGGAAGATGTTTGGCATATGCTTTTAAACAAATGAAATAAACACCAGACATTTGCACTGGGAAATATAATTACTTTATTGACTAACTTGTTGTCAATATTTTTCTCCTATATTTAAAGTTATCTGAGCCATACCTTATCCATCTCTAATTAAATCCACCATCAAGAGAGAATGAGCTGCAGGATTATGCAAAATTCATGCTTAGGATTTACTATGACAGTCATTGGGAAACAACAAATAAAATAGCATTTCCATGGCTGGTATGAAAGCGGTACATCTTTTTCCTTGGAGAATCTATTTCAGATTCCATAAGTACTGTATTTTACTGCAGTAGCTTGGAGATGAAGATGAAGCTTTTCAGAATTACAGAAAATTATGCAGGAGTCCATTTTTGCTTTCCTTCTTTCTTGTACTGAGTAGTTCAAAGTCTGTCGTTCTGCTTTTGTTACTGTGATTGTATTTAAAATGCTTGACATTGATTGTGATATTAACTGTTGTCTCATTAGCTTCCTTTCAAATGGCCAGTTTATGGCTGATTTGATTAATCCTAGTAGGAAATTGAAAAATGTATATAGGTGCTATACCATATAGATGCACCGGTTGTCTGCTGTGTATTTGAGTATGGGAACAGAGAAGGGGACAGCAAGACCTGTGCAGCTCTTGCTCTCCCACACAGTATGAGTGGGGAAGAGACTGTGGATGGAAGTTCAGTTTCAGCCTTCCCAGGCATCGTGCTCACAGAGCACAGTAAGAAGCAGCTGTCTACAGGCAAGAAAGCAGGTCTCTTGCTGCTGAGATTCACCATTCTCGTCACTTGGAGGTGACGTGCTGGGATGTTTCCTGAGATTGAAACCATTACCTTATACGTAGACCATGGAAAAAAGCAAAACGTGGCTCTAAAGTGCCATCTTGGCATTTCCAAAATGTTGGTATTTCTTGGTTTTGTTGCTAAATTATTAGTAAAAATGGTTAATTCTGCTGTTGTCTTGTTTTTTCCCCACAAGTGACCTACATCGTTTCACTTTAATCTGAACTAAGAGGCACTGTGTTAAGGGCTGAGTTGTGAAGAAAAAGGAAATAGAAAGACAGGGCAAAAATATTGCCCATTTAACATGGCTAATCCAAGCAGAAAAATGTTCATTTAGAATTTTGCAGTGTTCTGATCACATCTGTAAAGCATTTCTGTGTAAACAATTTTTTTTACTTAAAAGCATTTTGTTTCTGATCATAAGCTTTGCACACTCTTCTGTTGTTCTGAGTCCTGCTTAGCTGTACTAATTTTGCCTTATGTCTCTGCTGGAGTAGCTGACCACAAAGGAATTACAACATTACACTTCTCAGTTAATGCCTAAAACATAGAAAGTTCTGCCTCCAGGTTTGTTTGCATTTGCTTATTTGGTTGGTTTAGTTTTCCCTGATACTGTTTATGAGTGGGTCATGGACACTGACATGTATTTGTCTCTGATTTGCCTGAAGACTTCAGTTTGATCTACAGATGCTTGAAAAAGTCCATCTGGCATCAGTAGAGCAAGCTTACTGATGTTAACCTCTTTTCCCAGGGAGGTAAAATTGCATCCTCGTTCCTAATGTTATCTGCTGGTATTTAGGCTGGTCTTGGTTTTCCTTGAGTGTTTGTAAACAAATGTATAATTTATTAATCTCTCTGGTTGCTGTGGCCATCCGTAGAAACTCTGAATGGAACCCATGCACCTGTGTGTTTTAGAGCAATGTTCCAGGTTTGTGGTTGTCTGCCAGCCCGTTCTGTGCTCCGCAGACAGCCTGAGAACCCTGTGCAAGGGGGCAGAGCATGGGGCAGTCAGGCAGATGTACAGCTTACCTTGGGAGCTCTTTTAGCCCTGCCCTGTACTCTG